ATTATTAATAAAATAATTATGAACAGTACTGATATTAATATAATAATTATAAATAATATTATTATTAATATAATTTTTATAAATAGCATTAATGTAATAACTATAAATAGCATTATTAATACTCATAAGATTATATTCATATGGTTATAAACAACATTAATATCAATACAAGGATATATAGTATTGTCGTTAATATAATAATTATAAAATCCTATTGATAATATAATAACAATAAAAATATTGTTATTAATATAATAACAATAAAAAATTATTATTATTAATATACTAATTGAGATAAACAAAAACAAACACCGAAGAACATGACAGCGAAAAAGAAATAACTGAGAACAGACAGGGACTAAAGACAAACAATAATAATAATAATAATAATAATAATAATAATAATAATAATAATAATAATAATAAATAAATAAATATTAATAATAAGTAATAATGATAATAATTAATAATAATTCTAGATAAGAGACAGACAGAAACAAAGGCAAAGGAGACAGGGTAAAGAAGAGACACTCTACTTCCGCTGTCTCCTTCCGCTGTCTCCTCACCTCGAAACTCTTCGCTGTACTCTCTGCAGGAGGCCCACACAAATCTACGAAGGCCTAAACATCACAGCCACACGCAACACTAAGGGGGCCCCTACTGAGGTCAAGGGGGCCCCTACTGAGGTCAAGGGGGCCCCTACTGAGGTCAAGGGGGCCCCCACTGAGGTCAAGGGGGCCCCCACTGAGGTCTAGTGGCCCTTACTGCGGTCTAGGGGCCCCTACTGAGGTCATAGGGGTGAGGGGGCCCCTGTTGAGGTAGAGGGGGCCCCTATTGAGATCAAGGAACCCCTATTGAGGTAGAGGGGGCCCCCATGAGGGTAAAGGGGCCTCTATCTGTTCTAAGGGGGCCCCCATAAGGGTGAAGGAGCAAAAGGCAAAGAGAGAAAGAGAGAAGAGCAGCAAGACAGAAAAGAGACAGAAAAGAGAGACAGAAGGAGACAGCTAATAGACAAGACACAGCACCTACCCTCGAAGGAGGAGACAGCCAAAGCTTTTGAAGGGGCCCCACATCCACAAGGGCCTCAGGCGAACAACCAACAGCAGCAGCAGATAGGGGGGCCCCCATAGAAGGGGGGGCCCCCTTAAACCTCGCTGGGAAGAGAGGGGGCATTAAGGAGCGCAGCAAATGCGTGAGACGCGCCGCATGCATAAAGGGACACCCCACATCCTCGGTATTTGACCTGAAGCAAAACAACAGCACCACAAGATCTGCTGCTGCTGCTGCTGCTGCTGCTGCTGCTGCCCCTGCTCATCCTGCTGGGGACCCCAGACGGTGCCCGATTTGCCCCCTAAAGGGGGCCCCCTGTGGGGCCCCCCGAACGCCCCCCTGAAGGGCCCTCCGAAGGCCCCCCTGGCGAAGGACGCCATGAAGGGCCCCCGTTAGAGGCCCCCTTAGGGGCCTCCCTTAGGGGCCCCCCTGAGGGGCCGCCCATAGGGGGCCCCCCTGAGGGGCCCCCCTTAGGGGCCCCCTGAGGGGCCCGTTGTGTTGTGCATATGTAGAGTTACTTGTTGCAGAAGATGTGTTTAGTGTCTGAGGAGGAGAAGGCCTCCATAAGGGCTCTGTATTCTTTTGTTTGTACGAGCTGAGGAGACACCCCACGGAGACACTGAGGAGAAAAGGTGCAGATACACCCCAAAGACTGTCTCCTTTTAATGCCCTCACGATATATATATATATATATAACAAACAGCAACGCAAACAAACAGGAGAAATAAAGGAGACAAACATACAGCTGAAGACAGCGAAGGAGACAGCGTAAAGAGACAAAAAAAAACGCAGGAGGAGACACAAAGACAAAATGTCTCCACCACAGAGACAGAGGCAAAGAAAAAGAAAAAGACAGAGACAGAGACAAAGATAAAGAAAAATAAAAAGAGACAAAGACACAAAGAAAGACAGAGACAGAGACAGAGATAGAGACAGAGACGATGAAGAAGAAAAAGACAGAGAGACAGAGACAACGAAGAAGAAAAAGACAGAGACAGAGCAAACGAAAGACAGACGGAGACAGCAAAGAGAGATCAAGCAAAGACAGAGAGACAGACAATGGCTAAGGGATAGATAAACAAAGAAACAAGAGACAGAGAAAGGAGACAAACAATGAAAAAGATAGAAAGAGACGCGGAGAGACAAAAAAAGATAAACAGAAGGAGACAAGAGGAGGCAAACGATCAATAAATAAATATGCAAACATAGGAAGAAGAAACAAACAAAAAGCAGAGACAAAAGGAGACAAACAATAACAAGTAAACAAAAGGAGACAGTAATAAAGAGACATACAGAGACAAAAGGAGACAACGAACAAACAATAATAAATAAGCAAAAGAAGACAGTAGATAAACAAAAGGAGACAGTAATAAAGAGACACACAGAGACGAAAGAAGACAGACAACAATAAATAAGCAAAAGGAGACAGTATATAAACAAAAGGAGACAGTGAGGGCCCCGCACCTGCAGCGGAGTAAAATGAAAGACAGCAGCCAAGGGCTCTGAACAAGAGGCCTTAAGACATTCGAGCTGTACATACAAAAGGAGACAGACAAAGAATAAAATGTCTCTTTCCTTTGGTCTTGTTGCTGCTCTCTCTGCTGCTATTTGCTGTCTCCTGCTGAGCTGTCTCCGTCTCCTTTTCTGTCTCCTTTTCACTGCCTCTCTCTGTCTCTGTCTCCATCAGCAGCAATAGCAGCAGCAGCAATAGCAGCAGCACCAGCAACAGCACCAACAGCAGCACCAGCAACAGCAGCAACAGCAGCAGCGCCAACAACAGCACCGGCAGCAACAGCAGCAACAGCAGCAACAGCAGCACCAGCAACAGCAGCACCAGCAGCGACAGCAGCAACAGTAGTTTGCGTGTGTGTGTGTGTATGTATTAATTTAATATTAATTTAATGTACAGAGATGAACATACAGCTTTAATAGTTTGAAGTGTCTCCTGACATTCAATAAAAAGAAACACTTTGCCTTTCTGCGGTTTGCTGCAGACCTGCAGAGGATCGATGCTGCGGCCATCGGCTAATTTAATACTTTCTCCGTTTTTTAGCTGTGCATACACCGGGCCGGGCTCAATCTGCATAACAACATATTTATATACAGCATTCAAATAGCTCAATCCTAACAATACATATACATAGATACATATATACATAGCTACATAGCTAGCTAGCTAGCTAGCTAGCTGGATAGGTGGATGGATGGATGGATAGATAGATAGATAGACAACTAGGTAGCTAGGTAGCTAGGTAACTGGCTAGCTAGCTAGCTAGCTAGCTATGTAGCTAGCTGGAGCGGCGGCTAGGTAGCTGGCTAGCTAGCTAGCCGGTTGGACAGCTAGCTGTCTAGCTAGCTATATAGAAGAGGTAAATAAAGAGAGAAGAGAGAGAGAGTCAGAAGGAGGCAAACATATACAAAAGGAGACAAAAGGAGACAGAGTGAAGCACCAAGAGGAGACAACCAAAATAAAAAGAAGACAAAAGGAGACAGGGAAAGATATAGGAAGACAAAAGGAGACAGAAGAAGACAAAAGGAGACAGAAGAAGACAAAAGGAGACAGAAGAAGACGAAAGGAGACACAAATAAAACAAAAGGAGACAAAAATAAAACGAAAGGAGACAGAAGAAGACAAAAGGAGACAAAAATAAAACAAAAGGAGACAGAAGAAGACAAAAGGAGACAGGTCTCACCCCCAACGCCTTCGCTTTCTCTGGGAAGAAGCGGCCCCTCACTGTGGGGCACCGCAGCAGCAAAAGGAGACAGTCAGAGGTGTCTCCGTAGTCTCCATACAAAGCAGCCTTTGCTGCTGATATTCTGCTGCTGCAAGGACCTGCTGCTGCTGCTGCTGCTGCTGCTGCTGCTGAAGCCCCTCCGTTCTCCTCGCCCTAACAACCGCACAGTGCGCACATCAATCAAACGCAGTAGCAACAGCAGCAACAGCAGCAACAACAGCAGCAACAGCGAATCATGTATCTCAGCTGCCAAACGAGCAGCAGTAGAAGCAGCAACGGAGTAACACAGCAGCAGCAACCACAGCAGCAAACACCAGCAGCAACTCTCGCAGCAACACACCAACGGCAAATTACGCAGCAGCAGAACCCGCCGCAGCAACAACAGGCAAAGCAGCAGCAGCAGCAGCAGCAACAGCAGCAGCAGCAGCAATAGTTGCCCACATCCTGTTCAAGCTTGCGTCGTTTTGTATTGAGATCATCATCAGCAGTCGCTGGCTCGAGATGTGCTGCTGCTGCTGTTGCTGCTGCTGCTGCTGCAGCAGATTTTACGTTAGAGGGGGTTGCAGGTGCAACACTGCTGCTGCTGCTGCCGTTGATGGTGCTGCTGCTGTTGGCCGCGCTGCTGTTGTTAGAACTGGTGGTGTTTTCGTCTTCTAGAAGCGGGTTGACTCCATTTTGCTGCTGCTGCTGCTGCTGCTGCTGCTGCAGTCTTCTGCTGTGCGGAAGATAGAAAGCCTCAATGGGGACACCGCTGGCTGTCCCCTTGACGGAGGGCCCATAAGAACAAGCACAAGTCCGGGGTCCCTTGCTGCTGCAGCTGCTGTTGCTGCTGCTGCTGCTGGTGCTGCTGCTGTTGCTGCTGCTGCTGCTGCTGCTGCTGCTCTTCTGCCGACAACCCCCGTTGCAGACGCCACCAGTACAGAAGCGCTCTCCTAGCAAAGAGGGGGGGGCCTCGGGGGGCCCCATTAGTCTGTAGTTTATCTCCAGGTTCTTGCTGCAGCACACAGCCACATCACACTCCTGCTGCTACTGCTGCTGCTGTTGCTGTTGCTGCTGCTGCTGCTGCGGCAGCACCGGCCTCGGGAGTTGTTCACTCCATCGGTGGCTAGCTAGCCACTTAGCTAGCTAGCCACTTAGCTAGCTAGCCACTTAGCTAGCTGGCTAGCTCGCTAGCTCGCTAGCTGGCTAGCTAGCTAGCTAGCTAGCTCGCTAGCCAGGGGGGAGACTCACAGGCCTGCAAAGGAGCGTATAGCTAGCTGCAGCAGCGGCTTGAGGCCGTGGGGGCCCCACAGCGTCACTGAGGTAGCCCCTGTGCCTTCGATAGACAGCAGCAAACCAACCAGACCAGCAGCAGAAGAAGGAGACAGAGACGTAAGAAAGATGTCGCTGATGCGGTGTATATGCAGCTTCTTCTCCAGGTGGTAGCTGCACATACACCCCAAAACATGCAACAGTAACAGCTCCTCAGGACGCCCCCGCTGCTCCTGCTGCTGCTGCTGCAGCCAAAGCAGCAGCAGCAGCAGCAGCAGCACGAACGAGGGAGAGGCAGCTGCTTTCTAGCTACGTCGCCAGCTAGCCAGGTAGCTAGCTAGTCAAATAGGTGCATATCCTAATGGGTAGCTAGCCAGGTATCTAGCTAGCCAAATGGCTAGCTAGTCAGATAGCTAGCTAGCCAAATTCCCAGGTATAGAACTAGCCAGCTAGCTAGCTAGCTTCCTCCCCTTTGGTTCCGTTCGCTCTCTGGAGCTTCACAGAGCCAGCAGCGTCCTTGGCTGTACAGGCAGCTAGCTAGCTAGCTAGCCATCTAGCCAGCTAGCTAGCCGGCCGTACTAGATAGTTAGTTGGGCAGCTAGCCCGTTGACTAGGCAGCAAACCAGCTAGCCAGTAAGTCAGCCAGCAAGCCAGCTAGCTAGCTAGATGCCTAGTGTGGTTAGCTAGCTAGCTAGCTAGCTAGCTAGCTGGGTGCCCTCACCGCTGCACATTCTCGCCAGCGTTGATGAGGAGGCGCGGCCCTTCGCAGAAGATATGGATGGAAGGCGGCACTGAGAGCCGGTGGCAACCTAGCAGCTGCAGCAGCAGCAGCAGCAGCAACAGCAGCAGCAGCAGCAGCAGCAAGATATCGACCCGAAGGCTCAATTGGGAGGGTTTACTGGGGGCCCCTGGGGGGCCCCATACTACGTGCACGAGGGGCCCCTCGGGGGCCCCTACAGCTGAAGAAGCAACATGGGAAGCAGCAGCAAAGAAGACGTACCTGGGCAGTGATGCTCATCTTGCAAGCCCGTTGCTGCTATTGCTGCTGCTGCTGCTGTTGCTGCTGCTGCTGTTGCTGCTGGTTTGTCGCTGCTGCTGCTGCTGCTGCGATCCTGTTGCTGTGGCAGGTGTTCCTGGGGTTGTTGGTGTTGCTGTGCCGCTGCTGTTGCTGCTGTTGCTGCTGCTGCTGCTTCTCTACCTTGTTGCCTTAGCTGTGCAGGCTGCTGCTGCTGCTGTGTCGCTCCCTGGGGGCCCCCTGTTGCTGCTGCTTTGCTGCGGGGGCCCCCAGGTGCGCCTGTGGTGGCGGGAGCTACTTTCTCGGCTTTGTTTCTGCATAAGATAAATATAGTTGCTCTAAATAGAGCCTATAAAAAGAAATATATAAACAGCAACAGCAGGAAGACAGGGGCCCCCAGACTCGGAGCGTGGGGCCCCCAACTCAGCAGCAGCAGAGGGCTTCTTCTGCTTTATTGTAGAGCCTATTAAAGAAAGTAAATATATTTAAATATTAATTTATTACTTTATTTGTTTATTGCTGTTCATTTGGCCTCTGCAACGCCCGCGCTAACAACCAGTAGCAAAACCTTAGCTATACATCGATCTGCTGCTGCTGCTGCTCGTGCTGCTGCTGCTGCTGCTGCTCCGCGAAGGCCCTCTGCCCCCGTGCTGGGGAAGCACATGGGGTGTATGTACACCTCAAATTAACTGCAGCACCAACTTTAACAGCTAACCCACCCTTGCTGTAGGAGCAGCAGCAGCAGCAGCAGCAGCAACAGCAGCAGGAGCAGCGGGGACTCCGCAGCAAGAGGGGCGCTTGCTGCTGCAGCAGCAGCACAGCAATGGAACCCAGAGGCGGCTGCCAGCAACAGCAGCAACAGCAGCACTTGCTGCAGCAACACGACCAGTCGCAGCAGCAGGAAGACCAGCCTCAGCAGCAGCAGCATCGGGCCCAACTCACCGAGCAGCAACACGAGCAGCAGCACCCCAAGAGGGAGGAGCAGCAGCAACAGCAGCAGCAACAACAGCAACAACAGCAACAGCAGCACCAGCACCAGGAGAAGCCAACACACTCCGATTGCCCCTCTTCAACAGACCCGAGTGCTCGAGATATTGTTTATTGCTGTAGGTGGGTTTCTGCGCAAGGTTTAGGGTTTAGGGTTTAGGGTTTGTTGGGATACGCCTCATTGCATGCAGTCGATATTCAGTGAGGACCGCTAGCCGTTAGCTGCTGCTGCTGTTTGTTTTTTTTTCTTCATCTGCAGCAGCAACTCTCCAGTTGCTGCTGCGCCCTCTTGAGGTGTACATACACCTCCCTGTCTATCGACAGCAAAGCCTTAATCATCAGCCTACGACATCTTTCTCTGTGCTGCTGCTGCTGCTGCTGCTGCTTCTGCTTCTGCTGCTGCCGCTGCTGCTGCTGCTGCTGCTCGTCTCAGATGCTGCCGCCACAAGCTCTTCTATGAAGCGCAGCTGCAGCCTCATGAGCCGAAGGGGGCCCCCGTAGGGGTCCCCGTAGGGGCCCCTAGGGGGGCTCCCAGCCGGAAGTGTACGAGTGTCTTTGTAGAGCCGCTGGGGTGGATGAAGGGCCTTGAAGAACAGCAGGGCAAAATATTATGCCCAAACCCAGCGGTAGGCTTTGCTGCTGCTGCTGTTGCTGCTTCTGCTGTTGTTGTTGCTGCTGCTGCTGTTGCTGCTGCTGCTCGACTTGTCTGTATGTGAATGGAGTTTGGGGTGTGCATACAGTGCAAGGGGTTTATAAAGGGTGAGGGTTTATGCTAGGGTTTAGGGTTTATGCTAGGGTTTAGGGTTTATGCCACGGCTGAGTGTTTAGTGTTTAGGGTTTAGGGCTTAGGGTTTAGGGTTTAGGGTTTAGGGTTTGTGCTGCAGTGTGGGGGTAAACTCGGCAATTGGAGTTGGGTTGGCCTCAAGTGCTCCTGCGGCCACTGGGTAAACCCCGCCTTCCAGGTAAACCCTAAACCCTAAACCCTAAACCCTAAACCCTAAACCCTAAACCCTGCCTACACAGAATCGCTGCAGCCGCTGCGCCTGCGGCAGCAGCAGCTGCAGCTGAATATGCACCAGCAGCAGCAGCAGAATATGCACAAGCAGCAGTAGCAGCTGAATATGCAGCAGCAGCAGCAGCAGCAGCAGCATCTGTTTGTTGTGTATATACACCACAGGTTCATCTCTCTCGTGTCGACCGCGTTGCTGCCCCGCATGCATGGAGAGGAGCAGAGCCCCTTCTCCTCTTCTAATTGGGGGCCCCTCAAGGGGCCCCCAGAGGAACCCCCTGGAGAACCCCCAGAGGAACCCCCTGAAGGACCCCCTGAGGGGCCCCCTTAGGGGCCCCCTGAGGGGCCCCCAGAAGGGCCCCCTTAGGGGCCCCCTGAAGGGCCCCCTGAAGGGCCCCCTGAGGGGCACCCTGAGGGGCCTCCTGTGGGGCCCCCATAAGTACCCGCTGAGGGGCCCCTTAGGGGCCCCCAGAGGGGCCCCCAGAACTGCCCCCTGAGGGGCCCCCAGAGATCCCCTCTAGGGGCTTCTTGTGGGGCCCCCTGAGGGGCCCCACAAGGGCCCCCTAATGGACCCCAGAAGGGGTTTAGGGTTTAGGGTTTAGGGTTTAGAGGCCTTTATGGGTCGTAGAGTTTAAAACCTTGAAGGGCCCTCCGGGGCCCCCAATTAACTTTGAGTTTAGGTCTAGCCAGCAGAAACTTCTCATCAGGTTGGAGGGAAACTATTAGGGTTTAGGGTTTAGGGTTTAGGGTTTAGAGTTTTGGGGCCTAGGCGAGGGTAAGAGGGGGGCAAGGAGACTGTTTATTGAGTCCTTAGGGCTGAGAGGAACAGCGGCATGCAACAGCTTCTCCAGGGTTTAGGGTTTAGGGTCTAGGGTTTAGGGTCTAGGGTTTAGGGTTTTGAGGTGTCTGGCTGCCCTGCTGCGCTGCAGAGAGTTATTTGGGTTTATGTTTTCGTTTTCTGTCTCCTTGTATCATTAAACACAAACCCTAGCCATCGTTACTAAACCCTAAACCCTAAACCCTAAGCCTCGTTACAGCCTCAAAGGAGGGGATGCACCCTAAACCCTAAACCCTAGACCCTGATCAGAAACTGTAGTAATAGACGCTAATAGAGTGCCCCTAAGAGGATAATACAACGAACCCTCAACCCTAAACCCTAGTGGGCTCCGCTAGCTAGCTAGCCAGCTGGCTAGCTAGCTAGCGCTAGCCAGCTGGCTAGCTAGCTAGCGGCTGTGACTCTAGATGCTGCTGCTGCATGCAAAGGCAGACATCTAATACATGCAGGGGCTGTGGATTGTTAGTGAGATAAAGAGCCTCACAACGAAGCATAGAAGGCTTAGGGTTTCGGGTTTAGGGTTTAGGTTTCGGGTTTAGGGTTTAGGTTTTAGGGTTTAGGGTTTAGGGTTTGGGGTTTAGGGTTTAGGGTTTAGGGTTTAGGGTTTAGGGTTTATTTGCTAAGCTGTAGGGTTCAAATGCCTCGCCCTGTCCCTCCTGTGCAGCAGCAGACGCTGCCTAACCTCAACTCAACTACAATGTAGAGATCTAGAGAGGGTTTAGGGTTTAGGGTTTAGGGTTGCTTGTCGGGTTTCCTCTTCAGCTTAATCTAAAGACCTATCCGAGTTGTTATCTTTTCTATCTGCATTAATAACAAATTTAATTTACATTAAAAGAAGAAATGCATGCGCTCTTGGAGGCCCCCTTGGGGCCCCCCGTGGGGCCCCCCAGGCAGAGCGGGGTGTCTCTACAGCTCAGCAGAGGTGCCTATACACCTGAAAATAATGAGTTTGTTTGCTGTTTATGCATTTGATGGTTTCAAAGTTAGAAATAATTATCAAAAGTTGGGTACAAACCCTAAAACCCTAAACCCTAAACCCTAAACCCTAAACCCTAATGGTTGCTTCCTCAGGTCTTGGGCGCTTATTTCAATGTTTTTCATCTTAATAGATTAACGAATTAGTTTTTATTTTAATAATTGCTTGTATCATTCTTTTAATTACTCTAAATACTGTTCAAGATACACCCGAAGCTGCCTATACACCCCAGCTTACCCCCTTACAATGTCTGCATTTCTACCGGGGGACCTGCTTAGCTTTTCTTCTCCTCACTGTCAGCGGCTGCTCCAACTAAATACAGCAGCAGAGAAAATAATCTTTTTAAACAAGGTACGCCTTGGGGCCGAGGGTTTAGGGTTTAGGGTTTAGGGTTTGGAGTCTAGGGTTTAGGCTTTCAGGGTTTAGGGTTTAGGGTTTAGGGTTTAGGGTTTATGTGATTCTGCAGATGTTAGTTACTGTGGGGGAGCAGCTAGAGCGGGTTCGTGAGGCGTTGGGGGCCTTCAGAAGAGGCGAAGCAGGGAGGGCGCCCCCCCACAGCAGCAGCAGCCGCAGCAGCAGCAGCAGCAGCAGCAGCAGCAGCAGCAGGATGGCAGACATTAGCGGGTTTATGGAGGAGTGGTGTTTGTTCGGCGAGGCATTTGTTGCTGTTGACGCTGAACAACTTTGCTGCTTCTTGTGGAGGGTCTGTCTCTTTACTTTTGTTTGTCTCCGTCGCGCTGTCTCTACTGTCTCCTGCAGCTGTCTCTCTTCCTTTGTTCGCTGTTGTTGTTGCTGCTGCTGTTGCTGCTGCTCTTGTTGCTGCTGCTGCTGTTGTTGTTGTTGATGTTGCTGTTGTTGTTGCTGTTGCTGTTGTTGTTGCTGTTGCTGCGGGTGTCGCTGCTGTTGGTGTTGCTGTTGCTGTTGCTGTTGCTGCTGCTGTTGTTGCTGCTGCTGCTCTGTGTGCGTTGCCCTTTGGTGTCTCTGTCTGTTGCAGCTGTCTCCATCTCCCCTTAGCTTCTACTTATCGTCTTATTTGCTTGTTCTGTGTGTGCTTGCTGCTGCTGCTGTTGCTGCTGCTGCTGCTGCAGCACCGGGAGAGACTGCAGCGGAGGCGGCAGCGTCTGCTGTCTGAACGCCGCAGCTCTTTGCATGCATTTTTGTCTCTGTCTCCTTCTGCTGAGGAGCTGCAGCGAGGGGGTTGGGGCTTCTTGCTGCAGGAAAGAGACAGTGAAGACAGACCCTCAGACTCTGATGAATCAGACGCTTAAACCCTTCTTCCTGCTGCTCTTGCTGCTGCTGCTGCTGCTCCTCTTCTTGCTGCTGCTGTTGCTGCAGCGGCATTCGCGCTGCAGCACTTCAGATCAGCAAAGCCACCCCTGACGTCTCCTATGCAGCTGTGGGGGCCCCCCAAGGGCCCCCATAGGGGCCCTCCAAGGGCCCCCACAGGGGCCCCCCAATGGGGCCTTCCCAGGGGCCCCCACAGGGGCCCCCCAATGGGGCCCTCCAAGGGGCCCCCAGAGGGGCCCCCACAGGGGCTCCCATAGGGGCCCCTCTTGAGGGGCCCCCACAGGTACCCCTTTTGAGGGGCCCCCACAGCGCCCCCTTTTGGGGGGCCCCCAGAGGGGCCCCTGTGGGGGCCCCTCAAAAGGAGGTGCTAGGTGTCTCCTTTTAAAGGCTGTTGTCTCTTCCTTTGCAAATTAAGCAAATGCCGGCAGCAAACCGAGGGGGGGGCCCCCAACTTAGGGGCCCCTAAATGGGGGCCCCTGCAATAGGCTTCAGTTTCGGGTTAAGAAGAAGAAGAGACAGCAGGAGATCCTTGTGCTGCTGCAACAGCAGCAGCACTTCTCTGCTGCTCCGGCAGTACTTCTCTGCAGCAGCTGCTGCAGCAACACTTGTCTGCAGCTGCTGCGTTGGCAGCACTGCTCTGCTGCAGCTGCTGCTGCAGCACTTCTCTGCTGCAGCAGCAGCAAATCTGTGCTGCTGCCCCGTAGGGGGAGAGGAGACAGCACATTAGCATTTAGTGTCTCCTCTTTTTGTGCAGTTTGGGGTGTATAGACAGCTGAGGGCGGGGGTTTGTTTGATTGGGTTTTGTTTTAAATATTTTATAAGGAGACAGAAGAAAAGGAGACAGCAGAGACAGCAGAGACAGCAGACACAGATAAACAGCTGAGAGTACAAACAAACAAAAACAAGCAGCAAAGGGAGACAGACAACGAACAAAGCAGAGAGAGAAAAAATAAAGAGAGACAACAGAAGATTAACAGCAAACAGAGACAGAGCAGAAGCAATAAATATAAACAAACAAACAAACAATAAACGGGCAGAGATAACAAACAGATAAACACAATAATAAACAGGGGGTGCAGAGCAGCAAAAGAGACAGAGACAGATGAAGATGGAGACAGTTTGTCTGTCGCTGCTGTCTCTGCATCTGCTGTCTCTTCTTTGTCTCACTCTGTCTCTGTTTCCTGTTTATATTATAATATATTTGTTGTTATTATTATTATATTATTATCGGGGTGTATATTATTATTTTATTTTATTTCTTGCTGCAGTGTTGCTGCTTTACTGTCTCCTTCTTCAAGCCCTAGCAGTCTCTTTCAGCAGCAAAGACATCTTTAAGTGTCTCCTCAGCACTGCGAGTTAATTAACCCAACGCCAATAATTACAAACAACACAGCCTCTTAACAACAAAACATAAGACTATATATACATATATATATATATATATATACATGCATGCGTATATGTTTGTAGTAAATCCCTAATAATAATTTATATTATATCTAAGATATACAATATACAAAATAAAGATATTGCACATTATATAATTCAGCATTAAAGAAACGGGGGCCCCTTATAGGGGGGCCCCCTAGGGGCCCCCTAGGTGTGGGGCCCTCATGCGGGCCCCACACACAGGGGGCCCCCTGCCTTCTCTGATTGCTTTGTTTATCTGTGTTTAATATTAAAAAGATTAAATATAAATAATATTTTATTTTATTTTAAAAGAAAACATATTTGCTGCTGCAGCCGCTGCTGTTGCAGGCTGGGGGGCCCCAGGAGTGACGGGGGCCCCCAGAGGTGTGAAGGGGCCCCCTCTTGTTTCTCAGGTGTATCTGCAGCTCTTCATCTTCTTCCTTTATTCCTCTTATTTGTTAGGCTGCAGTGCAGCTGCTGCAGCAGGAGAGGGGGGCCCCTTTTGCTGCAGCAGGTAAGGGGCCCCTGCCGCTGCAGCAGCAGAGGGGCCCTTCTGCTGCAGCAAAAGGGGCCCCTTAGCCTTCTTCTTTAGCTGCCAGCTGGGGGGCCCCTTCAGCATTAAATGGAGGGTAGCAGGGCCCCCCTCATCGAGCAGCAAAAGTTTTCTTTCCTTTGAACAGACGAACCTTCGCATGCAGCGAGAGCAACAGCAGCAACAGCAGCAGCAGCAACAGCAGCAACAGCAGCAGCAGCAGCAATGGCGCGGGATCGCAGCAAGAAGCGCACGAAGCAAGGGGGGGGCCCCTCCCCCTCCTTTGGGTCTTCTAAACGCCAGAAGCTGGGGGCCCCCAAGAGGCCCCCCCCCTCTCACACTCAAGTTGAGGTGAAGGTCAAGAAGCACCTGCTAGCTGCAGCAGCAGCAAAAGCGGAGCAGCAGCTGCAGCAGATGCATGAGGAAGCAGCAGCAGCAGGAGTTCCTTTCGCTCATCTATGTACTCCTTCTGCTGTTGACGAGGCCCTCCAGAAGGTAAGCAGATTGAGGATACTTTGGGGGCCGCTTAGGGGCCCTTCGGGGTTCTTTAGGGGCCCCTTAGGGGCCCCTAGGGGGCCCTTGCGGTTCTTTACGGGCCCCGTGGGGCCCTTTTGTGGCCCTTAGGGGGCCCTGGGGGTTGTTGAGGGGCCCCGTGGGGCTCTTTGGGGGCCCCTTTGAGCCCTTAGGGGACCCCTTGGGGCCCTTAAGGGGCCCCATAGGCCCCTTAGGGGCCCCCATGGGCCCCTTTGGGGGCCCTTTGGGGGCCCCTTTGGGGGCCCTTAGGGGGTCCGCACAAGTGCTGCATGCATACCTGTCCTGTGGGTCTGGCTGCTGCTTCACGCCCCTGCTGCTGCTGTTGCTGTTGCTGCTGCTGTTGTTGCTGATGCTGCTGCTGCTGGAGGTACTAGAGGGTTTGTTACTAGGGTCTTTGTGTTGTGTGCAGCTGACCTTCACTTCTCCTCTGCAGCGGCTGCAGGGCCTAAAGAGGCTCACGGGTTGCTTTGCTGCACTGCGCCAGCAGCAGCAGCAGCAGCAGCAGCAGCAGCAGCAGGAGGCGGGGGGCCCCAAGGGGCTGCAGATGGGGCCCCTTCTACGTCAGGTGCTGCCGGTGCTGCTCGCTGCTGCAGCAGATGAAGACGCGGAGTGCAGGCAGCAGGTGCTGGTTTGCTGCTGTGCCCTTATACAAACCCTAAGCAGCAGCAGCAGCAGCAGCAGCAGCAGCAGCAGCAACGAAGACGAGGAGAAGATACGTGAACGAAGGGCGTCAGCAGCTTTGATGCCTTTTGCAGATCTCTTCTCCGCCTCTTTCCTCAAGTACCTCTTGCTGCTGCTGCTGCTGCTGCTGCTGCTGCTGCTGCTGCTGCTGCTGCTTCTGTTTGTCTCTGTTTATCTCTGTTTATCTTTGTTTATTTATGTTTGTCTTTGTTTGTCTCTGTTTGTCTTTGTTTTTTATTTATGTTTGTCTTTGTTTTATGTCTCTGTTTGTCTTTGTTTGTTTTGCTTTTTGTTTGTCTCCGTTTGTCTGTGTGTGTGAGGGTTGTTATTTATGTTTGCTGCTGCTTATTTGCTGCTGCTTATTTGCTGCTGCTTATTTGCTGCTGCTTGTTTGCTGCTGCTTGTTTGCTGCAGCTGCCTGACGGCTGTAGACAGCCGCATTAGGAGTTTAGGCGTCTCCTTGGTGTCTCTCTTTCTGCTGCGCGTCCCCTCATTTACTCTCACGCTTCCAGACGTGTGTTGCTGCTGCTGCTGCTAATGCTGCTGCTGCTGCTGTTCTTAGTGCTGTTGCTGCTGCTGTTGCTGCTGTTGCTGCTGCTGCAGCTGCCGATGTTGCTGCTTCTCCTGTGCGTGCTGTTTCTGGTGCTGTTTCTAATACAGTTGCTGCTACTGCTGCTGCTGCTACTGCTGCTGCTACTGCTGCTACTGGTGCTGCTGCTGCTGCTATTGCTGCTGCTGCTGCTCTGTTGTAGCCCCCGCGTCTCTGGGTGTTTAGCAGCACCAAGCTTTTCGTTTGCTGCTGGTTTTGCTGCAGTTAGCTGTACATACACTGCGCGTTGTTGTTGCTTCTTCTGGAGGGGCTTCTTTTCTTGCTTTGTCTCTGCCGCTGCTGCTGCGGCTGCTGCCTCCTTATATTAAAAAGGAGAAGCTGCTGAGGGGCCCCCAGGGGGCCCTCATCACGCAAGAAGAGCTGCTGCCGACAGGAATCTATGAGCTGCAGCAGCTGCAGCAAAGCAGCTTGCTGCAGCTAGAGGGAACATCTCCTGCTGCTGCTGCTGCTGCTGCTGCTGCGGGGACCCAAGGGCAAGACAGCCACACCCCGCTGCTGATGCAGCTCTTCAGCAGCTGCTGCGACTGCTGGCTGCAGCAAGTACACGACCTTACGGTGGGCTGCTGCTGCTCTTAATGCTGCTGCTGCGTTTGCTGCTGTTCCTGCTGCTGCAGCTTCTGAAGCCCTTTTGCTGATTTCAAGGAAACATTTTGTTCGTTGCTGCTGCTGCTGCTGCTGCTGCTACTGCAGGACGGACGCGGGGGCCGTAGTGCCTTTGCAGCAAGCGCCAACAGAGACAGCAGCAGCAAGCATCATCAGCAGCAGCAGCAACAGCAGCAGCAGGAAGATGCTCAGCAGCAGCTACAGCTGCTGCAGCTGTGCTGCAGCATCTTTCATCTGCTGCTGTTTGGAGACACTGACGGCGCAGCAGACCCTGAGGGGCCCCCAGGGGAGAAGGAGGAGGTGGGGCCCCTCTTGAGGCCCCTTGTGCTGCAGCTGGCAGCAGCAAACGAGCGCAGGCGGCAGCAGCAGCAACAGCAGCAACAGCAGCAACAGCAACAGCTTCCAGTAAGGCACATTCCCCTTGTTGCGGGGCAGACTTCATTGGATTGCACCTAGGGTTTAGGGTTTAGGGTTTAGGGTTTGGGGGGGCTTGCGCTTCTTCTGCGGCCCCTCTATGTCTCGCCCTGCCGTGCGTGCTGCTGCTGCTACTGCCTTTGCTGCTGCTGTTGCTGTTGCTGTTGCTGCTGCGCTGCAGCTGCTGGAGACCTTTATTACGCATGTATTGCCGTCTCTCTTGGATATCTTAGACCGGGAGCTGCCTCCTGCGCTGCAGACAGCAGCAGCAGACACAGCAGCTTCATTTGTCTCCTTAGTATGCCGCTTTCTTGCTGCACCCTTGGGGGCCCTTGTGGGCCCCCAAGTCCTCATCACCCTCAAGCAAGGGGGGCCCTCCGGGGGGCCCCCAAGGGAGGGGGGCCCTAAGGGGGCCCCAGGGGGGCCCCCAAAGGAGGGGGGCCCTAAGGGGGCCCCAGGGGGGCCCCCAAGGGGGGTAGGCTCAGGGGGGCCCCCTGGGGGACCCCCAAGAGAGGGAAGTTCAGGGGGGGCCCCCGGGGGGGCCCCAAGGGGGCCTCTGTTCCGTACAGCTGAGAAAGGAAAAGATATTGCAGGGGCGGCCTTAAGAATATGGGGGCCCTCTCTTCGTTCTGTGCTGCTGTCTGTTGCTGCTGCTGCTGCTGTCTATCTCACCAAGACTGCAGCGCAGCTCCAGCAGCAGCTGCTCGCCGTTGTCTCCCGCCAGCAGCAGCAGCAGCAACAGGAGCAGCAGCAGCAGCAGCAGCAGCAGCAGCAGGAAAAGGGGGGGTACGTTCCTGTCCCTTTAGGGACAAAGAAGGCCTTTGTGATGTTCGCTTTGGAGACAGCTCGGAGTGAGGGTCTGGGGGGCCCCCAGAGAGGAGAGGGGGGCCCCCTGGGGGCCCCTATGCATTTTGCTTGTTCAAGGCAGCTTCGCTCGCTGCTGCAGCAAATAATCTATCTCGCTCTTGCGCTGAAGGCAGCAGCACCTCAAGGGGGGCCCCCAGGGGCCCCCCTCTCACCTGCTGCTGCGCCGCTTCTTACTACTCAGGTGTCTCTGCTGCAGTGGCTGCTTAGCAACCCTGAGGCCTATGCATGCAGCAGCAGCAGCAGCAACAACAACAGGTTGCTGCTGCACCTCTCAACAGCAGCTATTAATAGGGGCCTGGGCAGACTGCAGCGCTCTACCTATGTGAAGCAGGCTGCGCTGCTGCTGCAGCAGCAGCAACAGCAGCAGCAGCTGCTGCTGCAGCAGCAGCAACAGCAGCAGCAGCTGCTGCTGGAGCAAGAAACAGGCCAGCAGCAGCCAGCACCAGACAACTCGCCTCCGCTGCAGCAGCAAGGACCCCATGCAGCATCACCACCACCTCCCCGGCAGCAGCAGCAGCAGCAGCAGCAGATTTCATCTGGGACCCAACCGCTGCTGCCTATCCTAATGTCCCTGCAGCAGCTGCATGCGTCGCTGGCTGCTGCTGCTGCTGCTGCACATTCTCGCGGGACCCCCGGAGATGCGCCTGTCAATGGGCAGCAATTTAATAGAAAGAAGCAGCAACGAGTGCTGCAGCGCATGCAGCAGCAGCAAGCAGCAACAGCAGCAGCAGCTGAAGAGTTAGATTCTCCAGCAGCAGCTCTTGCTGCCCTTGGGGAGGCCTTTGATGCTCTCTGGCAGCAAGCCGTCGAGGCGTTGCTGCAGCAGCAGCAGCTGCTGCTCCGCTGCAGCAGCAGCAGCACAAGACAGCTCCTGCTGCTCACCAGCTCTGGCGGACAGGGAGACCAGCAGAATACACCAGAAGCAGCAGCAGCAGCAGCAACAGCAGCAGCAGCAGCATCTAATTCTTTTCTTTCCCTCCCGGTAGAGAAGGCCCAGCCCACCTGCAACGGCAGCAGCAGCAGCAGCAGCAGCAGCAGCAGTAGCAGCAACGGTGAAGACTTGCAAGTGGTGGAGATCAGCGACAGCAGCGACGAAGAGCCCTCGAAAGGGGACAAGAGTGCTTCATCTGCTGCTGCAGTTGCGGCTCCTTCTCCCCCTGGGTTTGCTGCAGCAGCAGCGGCTGCAGCGCCTGCTGCAGCAGCAGCAGCAGAAGCTGCGGTGTCACCACCTTCTACAGCCTCTACAGAACCTCTAAGTATTCCCTCTGATACAGAAAGTGTCTCTACCAGCGACGCCCAGCAGCAGCAGCAGCAGCAGCAGGGGCAGCAACAAGAGCAGCAGCAGCAGCAGCGGGGAGTTGCAATTTATGTGCTGCAGGCTCCAGCGCTGCTGTCTCCTCTGCTGCTGCTGCTGCTGGGGTACGATGCTCAGGCGCTGCTGCTGCAGCTACCCGCTGCTGCAGCACCCTTCTATAGAAGAGTTGTTGCTGAAGCAGCTAAGGTGCAGCAACAGCTGCCTCCGTGTTTATGGGCAGGCCCCCTCTCGGCTGCTGCTGCAGCAACACAGCAGCAGCAGCAGCAGCACGACAAACGCATGAAACTGTGGACGAGGGGACTGTCTCTGGTAGCTGCTGGGTGTGTTGCTGCATCTGCTGCAGCAGCGGAGTGTCAGGGGCCTGCTTCTGCTGCACCTACACCAGCAGCAGCAGAAACTGCTGCTGCTGCTGCTGCTGCTGCTGCTAGGAGACAGCAAGCAGCAGCTGAAGCAGCTTCTTGGTGCCGCCTTCTTCTCTTTGCTGGGAGGTCTGCGCTGTCTCCTCAGACAGACGGGTCTGTCTCTCTATCTTTGCTGCTTCTTTTTTATATTTTTAATTTCTGTCTCTGTCTCTGTCTCTGTCTCCTTTGGCGTTGGTGGGCTGTCTGTCTCCTTTTGTTTGTCTCTTTGCTGCTGCTCCTCAGTTTAGTTTTTGTGTCTCTGTCTCCGTTGCTTTGTTTTCATTTCTTCTTCTGTTTTGCTGCCTCTTTTGCGCCTGTCTCTGCTGTACATGGGGTCCCTGCTGTTGCTGCTGCTGCTGCTTCTGCTGCTGCTGCTTCTGCTGCTGCTGCACTTGTAGCTATCTAATAAGGATGTGTTTCTGTCTCTGCTGCAGCGTCTGTCTCTGCCTTGCTGTACATTTATTTTTTAGTTGTCTCTTTTGCTTCTGTTTAATGTCTCCTCTATCTTCGCTGCTGTGTTGTCTGTCTCCTGCTGCTGTCTCTGTTTGCTGCTGCTGCTGTCTCTGTTTGTTTGTCTGCTGCTGCTGTATCATCATCTACTACTGGCGTTCTGTTTATTTATTTTTTTTTCTCTGTCTCCTCCGTCTCTCTTTGTCTTTGTTCATATTTTTTTGCTGCTTTATCCGTCTATCTCGTTGCGAGGCCGATCTCTCCTTTGCTGCTGCTGCTGCTGCTGTTGCTGTTGCTGCTGCTTCAGGTGTCTCCTCAGCAGCGCCTTCCATTCTCTGCTGCAAGACATCTTCTACTGTCCCTTCGTCCCGTCACCAGAGGCGCTGCCTGTAGTTATGAGGCTGCCTCCTTCTTGTAGAGATGCTGCTATCTGCTGCGTCTCTGCAGCAGCAGGAGCAGCAGCAACACCAGCAGCAACACAGTCCCTGCTGCTTCTTATTCCTCATGTCATTCGTTGCTGCCTATTCCCCTTTGGATTTAGTCGTATGTACACCGTAACCTGGAGCAGCAGCAACAGCAGCAGCAACAGCAGCAGCAGCAGCAGCAGCAACAGCAGCAGCAACAGCAGCAGCAACAGCAGCAGCAACAGCAGCAGCATCAGCAGCAGCAGCAGCATGGGCGGTAGCGGGGCTCCTCCGGGTTTCCCTATCTCTTTGGAGACGTATCCTGCACAAAGCAGTAGAAGCCTGCCTGCTGCAGTGTCTCCCTCCTCTGCTGCACCAGCAGCAGCAGCAGCAGCAGAAGCAGCAGAAGCAGCAGTAGGCAGCTTGCGTATATATAGCTCCTTGAGTTCTGCTGCTCCTGCATGCGACCCTTTGCTGCTAGCAGCAGCACGGTGGGGCCCTTCAGGTGTCTCTGCAGACAGCCGGTTATTGGCTGTTACACACTTCGCGCTGCCGCTGCTGAGCTGTCTCCTCAAGCAGCAGCGGGGGAATGCCTCTGTCTCCTTGCAACAGCAGCAGCAGCAGAAGCAGCAGCAGCAGCAGCCTGAGGGACAGACAGACGGAAGGAGACAGGAGACACTCCAACCTACAAATCAGACAGCAACAGCAGCAGGGGCCCTCCCTCTTAGAATTGTCGCGAGTCTCCTCCTAGAGGCAGCAAAGCCCTTTGCTGCCTCTCGCAAGACGCAGCAGCAGCAGCAGCAGCAAGAACAACAACAACAACAACAACAGCAGCAGCAGCAGTATGAGCTACGTTTTAAGGGTCCTTTATGTTTAGAGTTGCTGCTGCAGGAGGCAGCTACTCTGCTGCTAGGAGACATTCACACGAAGGAGACACTGCTGCATGCGCTGCAGCTGTCTCCTTCTGCTTCTCCTTGGGGCCCCCTTGGCGTGGGGCTGCAGCAACCGGGCAGCACAGCAGTAGCAAGAGAGATCCTCTCTCGCTTTACTTTGCCTCTCTGCTTGCAAGCATGCGCCCCGCTGCAGCCAGCAGCAGCAGCAGCAGCAGCAGCAGCAGCAGGAGTGGGGGGACAAGAAGGCGAGAAGGGCCCCTGGGAAGTGGTTGCTGCTGCAGCAAAGGCAGGGGCCCGTGTCTCTGCTTCTGTTTCTTTTTTCTGCTGCTGCGCTCGTCAGCTGCTGCCTCCTCTCTTAGTAGCCCCTGAAGGAGACAGTGCGCAGCTCAAGTGTACAGACAGCTGCGGGGGTAGAGCTGACGAAACCTGCTGTCTCCTTTCTTATCCCCCTCCTTCTTTTGCTCTCGCTCTTGACTTCCTCTTCTGTCACTTAGGGGCCCCAGGAACCCCCTTCCAGGGGCCCTTACAAGAAGCCTGTAACAGCAGCAGCAGCAGCAGCAGCAGCAACAGCAACAACAACAATAGCCCAGCAGCAGCGGCAGCAGCAGCTGCTGCTGCTCCTCCTGCTGCTGCTGCTGCTGCTGGAGTGGCGCGAACAGTGGGGCTTTCCTTTCAAGGGACAGCTCTTTATGATGAGTGTCTCCTTTGTGCATGCGGCAGCTGTACCCGCTCTGCTGCTGCTGCTGCTAATGTGGGGCCCCCAGGCAAAACGCAAAGCTTCCTCTCTGCTGTCTGTGCAGTTGCGGCTTTTGCTGCTGGGCCGCAGCAGCAGCCACCAGCAGACAAGGCCACAAGCAGCAGCAGCAGCAACAGCAGCAGCAGCAGCAGAGGAGCCGAGTGTACTTCTCTAGCACTTCTTTCTGCTTTTGTCGTTCTGTGTGACAAGGTGCTGCAAGCAATTTCTTCAGCCCTGCAGCAGCAGCAGCAACAGCAGCAGCAGCAAAAGCAGCAGCAGCAAGAAGGATCATGGGGGCCGATGTTTCTTCCTCCGGGGCTGCGGCGATGGTTCTTGAGGAACTGCAGCAGCAGCAGCAGCAGCAGCAGCAGCAGTTTGCGGGCCTCGCTGCTGCCTGATCCAGAGGACACGTTGAGGGCCGAGGGTCTCTTACTTGTACGTCTTCAGCTGCTATGCTGTTTATTTTTATTTGTGTTTGCTGTGCTGCAGGTTTATTGCATATATATTTTTATTTTATTTTTGTTTGTCTCCTCGGTGCCGCGCTGCTGCGGAGACTATGCTTCTCCTCTTTACTCTCCTTTGTCTCTCTTTTTATGTCTCTTCTTCTGTCTTCTTTGCTGTCTCCTTCACTGTCTTCTTTACTGTCTCCTTTACTGTCTCCCTTGCTGTCTCCTTTACTGTCTCCTTTGCTGTCTCCTCTTTGTTTTTTTTCTTTGTCTTCTCTTCTGTCTCCTTTGCTGTCCCTATCATTTTGTCTCCTTTCTTTGTCTTAGCCCTTTGTCTCTCTACCTTCATCTCTTTTTCTGTCTCTGTCTCTGTCTCTGTCTATTATGTGTCTCTCTTTGTCTTCGTATGTCTCCGTTTGTCTTCTTCCTCTCTCTCTCTCTCTGTCTTCTGTCTCTGTTTGTCTGCATCTCCCTACGTTTACCTCTGTCTCGCTGTCTTTCTGCCTCTGTCTCTGTCTCTCTTTGTCTCCTTCTCTGTCTCTCTTTGTCTCTTTCTCTGTCTCTGTTTGTCTCTCTTTGTCTTTATCTTTATCTGTCTCTGTTTGTCTCTGTCTCCTTTTCTTTGTTTTGTTTGCGTTATTGCTGTTTGTGGGTCTACGTCAACAACTCCGCTGTATATTACCTTCTAGCCCCCCTCTAAGTGTCTCTCTAACTGCTGCTGCTGCTGCTTCTATTCTGCCTTTCTGCTTCCGCTGTGCTGCTGCTATGCTGCTGTGCTGCTGTTGCTGCTGCTGCGGTGTATGTGCAGCTTGTCTCTAGCTTCAGAAGAAGTCTTAGAAGCCTCGCCCGTTGTCTATGTGGTGTTGCTGAGGAGGTTAGGGGGATCTCTAAGGGGGGCCCCCCTTCTTTGTTTAATATGTTGCAGCAGCAAACAGGTAGTAAGGAGACAGAATTGCTCTGTCTGTCTCCTCTCTGTCTTTCTCTTTTAAGTGCTCTAACCAAAACCGCAGCCTTCAGTGATAGCTGAGCTGTTAGAAGGCTGCAGCAAACTCTTAATTGCTGCAGCTAGCTACAGCTAGCTACACCTAGCTGCGGCGAGTTAGCCACAGCTAAGTAGCTAGCTAGCTGCAACGAGATAGCTACAGCTGGCTACAGCTAGCTATATCTGGCTGCGTTTTGCTAGCTAGCTAGCTAGCTTTCCAGCTAGCCAGCTAGCTAGCTAGCTAGCTAGCCAGCTAGCTAGCTTGCCCGACATAACTGCACTGGGGGGCAGACAGCCTTAAGGGAGTCAAGTATTGATTTTGTTCGTAGAGGACAAAATGTTGCAGCAGGAGACAGCAAATGAGAAACAGCAGAGACAGAAAAAGAGACAGAGGAGACAGACAAAAGAGACAGAGGAGACAGACAAAAGAGACAGCAGCAGAGACAGAGGAGACAGACAAAAGACACAGCAGCAGAGACAGAGGAGCGAGAGAGACAGAGACAGAGACAGAAGAAAAGGCAGAGGAGACGGAAGCGTAGAGAAAGGAGACAGAAGAAGAGACAGAGACACACAGAAGCAGAGACACAGGAGAGAGAGACAGAAACAAAAGAGAGAGACAGAGACAGAGACAGAGGCAGCTTCACAGACACAAACAAAGGAGACAGCGAAGGAGACAGAGAAGAGACAAAGAAGGAGACAAAAGAGGAGACAGAGACAGAAGAGACAAACGAGCAGCAACAACTCTGTACAGGCAAACAGAGAGAGACAAAGAGGGGCCCATAGCCTTCTTTCTGTCTCCTTTCTGTCTCCTGTCTGTCTCTCTCTCGTGTCTCTTATGCGTATATCGCCCCTCCACAGGACAGAGACATCCAGACAGCAGCAGCAAGACTCCAACCACGCACTGCTGCTGCTGCTGCAGCAACAGCAACAGCAGCAGCAGCAGCTGCTGCTGCTGCTGCTGAAACGGTTTGCCTGTCCCCTTCCTTCCCTGCTCCCTACTGCCCCACAAAGGAGACAAAATAACTGCATTAAAGACAAGCCCCAAAGTCTCTGCATCCACAGCAGCAGCTGCAGCAGGGGCAGCAGCAGCAGCAGCAGAAGCGTCAGCAGCAGTGCCTGGAGCAGCAGCAGTAGAAGCAAAGTCTGGGTAGCAGTTTTACTGTCTCCTGAATCCCTTGCTTAGTTATTCGCTGCGGCTAGAGTCAGCTAGCTGCAGCTAGCTGCCGACCACAGCACCTCTAGCTAGCTAGCTGCGGCGAGACAGAGCTAGCTAGCTACAGCTAGATGCGCAAATACAGCTAGCTGGCTACAGCTAGCTGTATATAGGCAGCTAGATAGATGCAGCTAGCTGCTTAGAGGCAGCTAGCTAGCTACAGCTAGCTGTCCCTAGGAGTTGCAGCCTTGTCTCGAACTGCAGCAGCAGATTAAGAAGGAGACCTCAACGTGTCTTTGCTGCAGTGATGGATGCTGCGCTGTTGTTTGTATGTGCGCTTCTTTACGGTGCTGTTTAGGGTTTAGGGTTTAGGGTTTAGTGTTGTGATTGCGTTGTTTTGTTTTTTGTTTTATTTGTCTTTGTTTTGCTGCTTTGGTCGTTTGCCTTCTGCTGCTGCAGCCGAGTTGTCTCCAACTCCCTACGATAAATTAAAAGGAGACAAAAGAGAGGCGTGGTTTAGGGTTTAGGGTTTAGGGTTTAGGTGTTGCTGATCCCGTTGCAGCTATTCACCAACGCATGCAGGGGAGCACAAACAACAAATCTTCTGAAGCCCTCGCGGACCCGCAACAGCAGCAGCAGCAGCAGCAGCAGCAGCAGGATCAGCAGCAGGAGCAGCAGCAGCAGCAGCGTCAGCAGGAGCAGGAGCAGCAGCAGCAGCAGCAGCAGCAGCAGCAGCAGCAGCAGCAGCAGCAGCAGCGGCCCTCAGTTCGAAGGCCCTACAGTAAGGTTGAGTTGCAGCTGTGTCTCCATCGCTGTAATAAACAAAAGCCCCCGAAGAAGGCAGAAAAGAGACAGCTGAAAACCTCTTTTTTGTTTAGATAGAGCAGCAGCAATAACAGCAACAGCAGCAGCAGCAACGGCAACAGCAGCAGCAACAACTGCAGCAACAGCAGCAGCAGCAGCAGAGGCGGTGGTCTACGACTGGTGCTGCGCCGCATCTGGGGTGTACAGCCAGCTTCGGCTGAGGGTCCTCTCTGAGGATCTCTTTGGCTTCAGCTTTAAAAAATAAAAAGGAGACAAAAGAAAAAAATATTTTCTGTATCTTCTCGGCGCCCTAGCCTCGAAGGGCAGCAGCAGCAACAGCAGCAGCAGCAGCAGCAGCAGCAGCAGCGGCGGCGAGTCGGCTTCGATCTAGGCCTCTTCATGGGGCCTTCTCTTATTTTTTTGTCTAAGTTCTATGAGTCCTTTTTTGCATTATACTGTCTCTTTTCAGCAGCAGCAGCAACAGCAACACGGGCAGCAACACCGCAGCAGCAGCAGCAGCAGCAGGGTCACTTCGAACTCGAGGCTGCGCCTCCGCGGGCTCATGAGCGTGAAGGTCCCTGCTGCAGCAGCAGAAGCAGCCAAAACTTCTGCTGCTGCTGCTGCTGCTGCTGCTGCCGTTCGAAGCAGCAGCAGCAGCAGCAGCAGCATAAAGTCTCCTGCTGAGGGCCTTCTGCTGCCTTCTACACCCCCTCTCCTCTGTCTCCCCAACGCCAACAGAGACACCGCAATGCCTCGAAGCATAGAGTTGCTGCGGTTGCTAGAAGAAGAGGCGGAGACAGAGGCTTTGTTCTCTAAGGAGCACCTCAACAGCAGCAGCTGCAGCAGCAGCAGCAGCAGCGGCGGCGTCGGCCCCGCCGCCGCTATCGAGAAGTTAAGAGCCAGCAGCAACAACAGCATCAACAGCAGCAGCAGCAGCAGCAGAGTGCTTCTGAATGCAGTCTCTGCTCGGTCTTCACAAGCTTCTGCTGCAGATAGCGGGGCCCTGTCTCCTGTCTCTTTGTCTCCTCCTCTACCCTCCCCACTGAGCTTGGGGGCCCCTAATCTATCAGATGCTCTTCGAAGCAGCAAACCCCACAGCAAGTGTCCCTTTCACCTCTTGAGGGGCCCCCAGGCCCCAGGGGCCCCAAGGGCCCCCGGGGGGTCCCCCCAGTCCCCATGGGGGCCCCCTAAGACACCATGGGGGGCCCCCAAGACCCCTTTGGGGGCCCCTAATGGCCCAGGGGGGGCCCCGAAGGGCCCTCAGGCCCCAGGGTCCCCATGGGGGGCCTCCAAGACCCTATGGGGGGCCCCCAAGGCCCCAGGGGCTTCATGGGGGGCCCCCAATGCCTTAGGGGGCCCCGGGGGCCCCCATCAACTTGAAATGGTTACTAGGGGACTAAAGGAGACCCTACTACGTCTCAGCAACGCAGGGGGGAGGCCCTTAGAGCAGCTTCAATCAAGGGGGGCCCCCCTGCCTCTATGCCGCTTAGAAGCTCGCTGTAGGGGGCCCCTCACTTGGGTCTCCTCTGCAACGCGAAACTCTGAATGGGGGAGGCGTAAGGGGGCCCCCCCCTCTACCCGAGCTGCTGCGCCCTCTGCTGCAGCAGCAGAAGCCCCTAAGTTTTTACTGTCTCCTCAAGAGATCAGTGGGGGAGACACAGTGACTGTTGCCGGCAGCGGGGGGCCCATGGGGCCCCAAATGGGGGCCCCTGCTGCAGCTGTGGGGTCGCTCGAGGCCAAGCCCCTCATAGCCGCAGCAGCAGAGGGACCCCCAGCAGCAGAAGCAGCAGCAACAGCAACAGCAGCAGCAGCGAAAACGGCGGCCCCCTGGGGGCCCCCTGGGGGCCCCTATGGGGGGGCCCCAACCTCCTTCGGCTATGCCAAGGGGGCCCCCGAGGCTTCTAAGGTGCACCGCTTTAGTTGTACTGGAGCGCAGCAGCAGCAGCAGCAGCAGCAGCAGCAGCAGCAGCAGCAAGAGGGTCAGCAGCAGGAGACAGAGGAGGTGTCTCTTAGCTGCCCCTTGAGGAGACCGTGCTGCTCTCTGTTGTCTCCTTCTTCTTCTTCTTCTCCTTCTTCTTCTTCTTTTATTCAGAGACAAAGGATACACCTCAGCTGTCTAGCCCCTGACTTGCTGTCTCCAGCAGCAGCGCAGCAAAACAGAGAAGCATACGGCTACAACGAGGGCCCCGGCTACTTGCTGCAGCACCTGCAAGGGGGGGCCCCCCTCTCTAGAGGGGCCCCCCAATCGTCTCTGCATGCGCCTCGTCTATCAGCTGCAGCAGCAACTCTTTATGCAGCAGCAGCAGCATGGAGAGACACAGAAGGTTCTCTGAAAAGAGACAGCTGGAGGGGGGCCCCCTTGAGGGGCCCCCAATGGGGCCCCCCTCAATCACACAAAAGAGAAGAGGAGACAGTCGAAGACTCCTTGCTGCTATCAGAGACACAAGCGTCTCCTCGGGTCAGCAACAACAGCATAGCGTACTTCAAGCACAGGCTTCAGTTAGAGCAGCAGCGGCTGCTGCAGCAGCAGCAGCACCCGCTGCGAACCCGGCTCCGAAGCCACACTGTGCAGCAGCAGCTGCGGCAGCAGCAGCAGCTGTGGCAGCAGCAGCAGCATCGGCAGCAGCAGCAGCGCCAGTGTGCATCATGCTCCTCTATTAGTAGCTGGGGGCCCCCTAAGGGGTCTGCAGAGGGCTTCTTAGGGGGCCCCCTTACCTGGTCGGCATGTGGGGCCCCACGGCAGCAGCAGCAGCTGCTGCTGCAGCAGCAGCAGCAGCAGCTAGAAGCATCGTTTGCTGCTCGCTTTAAAGAGTCTCCTCGGGTCTCCACAGGAAATCTGTCTCTTCATTCCACTGTAGCAATGAGCGCCAGCAGCAGCAGCAGCCGCAGCTGCAGCTTGACTCGCTGCTGCAGCAGCAGCAACAACAGCAGCGCGAGCTGCACTCTTGCTGCCGCTGTTGCTGCTGCTGCTGCTGGAGACAGAGACAATGGAGTCGAGAGAGAGCGCCGTCTCCTCTACAAACGCCTTGAGCAGCAGTTTACCCTTTCGCTTGTAAGTGCTGCAGCTGCAGCACTGCAGCAGCAGCAGCAGCAACAACAACACCAGCAGCAGCAGCAAGAGCAACAGCAGAAGCAACAACACGAGCAGCAGCAGCAGCAGCAGCAGCAGCAGGAGCATGCCGTTGACATGCATTATTGGGGGCCCACAACGGGGAAGGGAGAGCCTGCAGAGCCCCAAGGAGACAGAAAGGAGACACCTGAATCAGCAGCAAAGACAGCAGCAGCAGCAGCAGAGCGTGATCTCCTTCCGGGCCCCCGCAGCACTTCACAAATCTCCACACAGGAGGAGCTGCTGCCAGCAGCAGGCAGCACACTTGAACAGCAGCAGCAGCAGCAGCAGCAGCAGGAGCAACAGCAGGAGGAGCAGCAAGAGCAACAGAGGAAGCCCAGTGATAGCCGGGGAGAAGGAGACAGTGTAGATGAGGTGTCTCCTCGTCTCCTCTCCAATTATTTTAAGTCTTTTGCTTCAAAGAGACCCTTCTCAGCTGATGGCTCATCGAGATGCTTCCCCGGTGCTGCTGCTGCTGCTGCTGCTGTTGCTGCTGCTGTTGCTGCTGCACGGGCGCAGCGCGGGCGGCGGCGGAGCAACGGCGGAGCTGCTGCTGCTGCTTCCGTTGCTGCTGCTGCTGCTCCTGTTGTGCCCCCTCTGCAGCTCAGCAGCGTTGTGGCAGCAGCAGCAGCAGCAGGTACAGCAGCAGCAGCAGCAGGACCCGCAGCAGCAGCAACAGGACCCGCAGCAACAGCAACAGCAGTAGAAGCAGCAAGAGAAGGAGAAGCAGCAAGAGCAGCAAGAGATAATGAAGAGTGCTCGCTGGAGACAGCTTCAGCTGACCGCGCGATGTCTCCTTTTAGCAGCAGCAGGTGCAGCAACACAGGGGCCCCCTTGGGGCCCCCTGAAGCGTAGGGTGTTGCTGTTTGATATCTTTAAATAATTTTTTGTTTTTGTTTGTCTTATAAAGACAGAGACAGTTGAGGAGACAGAAGAGACAGTAAAAGACAGTGAAGAGTCGCCGAAAGGAGACAGAAACAAATAGCAGCAAATGTGTCTCCTCTTAAGCTGCAGAGACACCATAACAAAGCGAACAAAAATAAACAAACAACAAAAACAAAGAAGGAGACAGCAGACAGACAAAATAGACAAGAGATGAGAGGAGACACAAAGAGAGACAGAGACAGAAAAGGAGACAGCAAAAATATAGAAAGAAACACAAAAGATGAAGAGACAACAAAGTTAAAAAAGATTAAAATAGAGACAGAGACAAAAAAAGATAAAGAGACAGCAAAACAGACAGACAGACTATGAAATAGAGACAGAGACAGACAGACAGAGACAACATAAATAAAGAGAAATAGAGACAGAGACAGAGACAGAGACAGAGACAGAGACAGAGAGAGATAGAAATAGAGACAGAGAGTAAAAAGATAAAGAGAGACAGCAAAACAAACAGACGTAGAAAAAGGATTGGAGAGACAGAGACAACAAAACAGAGAGACAGAAAAAGAGACAGACAAAGAGACAGACAAAGAGAGACAGAGACAGAGACAGCAAAACAAAAAACAAAGAATATGCAGAGCTGCGAGAGACAGAGAAGGAGACAGAGACAGAAAGCAAAGAAGAGACGAAGACAACAAAGGAGACAGACACACAAGAAGAGACAGGAGAGACAGCTGAAAGCGAGTAGAGACAGCAAAACAAACAACAGCACAACCACTCAAAGACAACAAACATAAACTGCAGCACAAATTAAATAAAGAGACAAAAGACAGACATCTCGCCTTCTCCTTTTGTGCTGCTATCTCAAAAGAACCCATGCAGAAGCAATTTGCACTTTCGCCTGCTGCTGCTGCTGTTGCTGCTGTTGCTGCTGCTGCTGCTGCTGCTGTTGCTGCTGTTGCTGCTGCTGCTGCTGCTGCTGTTGCTGCTGTTGCTGCTGCTGCTGCTGTTGCTGTTCACATGCGAAAGCCAGCCCCAGGTATTTCGTTGTCTGCTGCTGCTGCTGCTGCTGCTATGCAGTGAGTCCTCCTCTGTACAGGGCCTTGGGCTCTGCTATCGGGAAGGGAGGAGACAAGACGTTGCTGCTGCAGAAGCAGCAAGTGCTGCTGCTGTCCCTCGAGGGCAGCAGCAGCAGCAGCAGCAAAAGCAGCAGCTGCAGGAAGAGCAACAGCAACAAGAGAGACAGCAAGCAAATTATCTTGAGTCTGTCTCCATAGAGAGAAAGGAGACAGGTCTCCAGACAGGAGACACTTCTCTGCTTAGCAGCTGCAGGATAGAGGGAGTAGCAGCAGCAGCAGCAGCAGCGGCAGCAGCAGCAGCCGGTGCTGCGCCTGAAGCAGCAATAGCAATTGCAGATAAGAAAGGGGAGACCGGGGGTGTTGCTGCTGCAGCGTCTGCTGCAGCACAGACGGAAGTTGCTGCTCCTTCAGAAGCAGAAGAAGAGGCAGCAGCAGCAGCAGCAGCAGCAGAACTGCTGTCTCTAGAGAGCCTCAGCTGTCCCCTTGTTGAGATGTCTCCTAGCGCATTTGAAGCAGAAGAGATGAATGCTTGTATGAATAAACCCTTAAGTGCAACCGCTACAAGCTATTAGTTTAATAATAATATTGTTTGTCTCCTTTTGTTTGTCTCCTTTTGTTTGTCTCTGTTTGTCTCCGTTTGTCTCCTTCTGTCTGCTTCTCTTTGTCTTTGTTCTGTCTCTTTCTTTATCTCTCCTTCGACTTGCTTCGTTTGTTTGTCTCTATCTGACTGTCTCCTTTTGTTTGTCTCCTTTTGTTTATCTCCTTTTGTTTCTCTTCTTCTATCTGTCTCCTTTTGTTTGTCTCTCTGTCTCCTTTTGTTTATCTGCTGTTGTTTGTCTCCTTTTGTCTTCTCTCTTTTGTTTTCTTTCTTTTGTTTATCTCACTTTGTCTCCCCTCTGTCTTCATTTCTGTCTCTTTATCTTCATCTTTATCTCTGTCTCTTTATCTTTATCTCTGTCTCTTTATCTTTATCTCTGTTTCTTTATCTCTGTCTCTTTGTCTCTGTATCTTTAGCATTTTTTGTCCGTCTCCTTTTGTCTGTCTCCTTTTGTCTGTCTCCTTTTGTTTGTCTCATCGTTTGCTGCAGTTCACTTTCTTTGTCTTTTATCTTATCTCAACTTAAACTTCACAATCAACTAACTGTTTGCTGCTGCACCTTTATGCTTCCTTTGTTGCTTATGCTGCTGCTGCTGTTGCTGCTGCTGCACTGGTTCGGGGATAACGGTTCTGCAGCAGCAGCAGCAGCTGTTGCTGCTGCTGTTGCTGCTGCTGCACTGGTTCGGGGATAACGGTTCTGCAGCAGCAGCAGCAGCAGCTGCTGCTGCTGCAGAAGCTATCAGCCATCCCCTTGAGGCATCGGTCATGTGGGTTTGTTTGCAGCAGAGGAGTCTTTCCCCGCAGCAGCAACAGCAACAGCAACAGCAGCAGCAACAGCAGCAGCAGCAGCAGCATGGCCCCCCTTTCTCTCACCAGGCCTCATGAGAAGAGACCCGAGGGCCGCTGCAGCAAGAGAAGTGTCTCCTACAGAGAGCGAATTCACCTTTGCTGCTGCCTCGCCCCCTCCACCTGCAGCAGAAGCAGCAGCAGCAGCAGTTGCTGCTGCTGGTGCTGCAGCACCTGGTGGCGCCTGCGGCAACACGAGCAGCAGCAACAGCAGCAGCAACAACAATAAAACAGGAGGATACTCTGAAGGGCAATTAATTCCCTGCTGCTGGTGGTTCCCAGTCAACTGCAGCAGCAGCAGCAGCAGCAGCAGCAGCAGCCGCAAAGAGGGAGACACACGCCACTGTCAAATTCAAACCGTGACACCGCCAGCAACAGCTGCAACAGCAACAGCAACAGCAGCTGCAGCAGCAGCAGCAGCAGCTCCATTAATAGAAACCATTCAAGTCGCAGTAACTCCCTCGGGGCCCCAGGAGGTGGTGTTGAGGGGCCCCTTCGCCTTAGGGGCCCCGAAGCAACTGCAGCAGCGAAGGCTGCAGCAAGAACTCCAGCAGCAGCAGCAGCTGCTGCAGCGGCGTCCGAAGCAGCAACAGCACCATAGAAAGCCGCAGCAGCAGCAGCAGCAACAGCGCCAGACGCAGCAGCAACGTCAACCTCGGAAGCAGCAGCAGCAAGGTCTACAGCAGCAGCAGCAGCAGCAGCAGCAGCAGCAGTTCGTAAGTGTTAATACCGCTGAGGCAGAAGGAGACACTATAAAGCAGCAACATGAGTTCCTTCTGCTAAGGGGCTTCTCTTTAAAGAGGCCCCCTCCTCCTTCAGAAGGTTTGCTGCTGCAGCTGCTGCACAGCCTAAGCCCTTCGCAACTAAACAAAGACAAAAACGTAGGGGCCTCACAGCACCCCTAGGGGCCCCTCAGCAGCTCTAGGGGCCCCTTAGCAGCTCTAGGGGCCCCTGCAAGTCCTTGGGGGCCCCCTATATGCAACTTAGGGGTATTAAACCAGCTCTATAGGGCCCCTAAACTGATCTGGGGGCCCTACACTACCTTTGGGGCCCCTACAGTACCTTAGGGGCCCCTACAGTACCTTGGGGGCCCCGAAGGAGACACCTAGGGGCCCCCACAAGTCGTTCTTATGCTGAGGAGGGGCGGGGTAGAAGGAGAGTCTGAGGGGTGTCTCCTTTATTGAAATGCAAACCCTAAACCCTAAACCCTAAACCCTAAGCCGTTGATTCTGTGGGTTCCTTTCTAGATGCACTTTAATTAGAGACAGACAGTACATTGTGAGAGACAAAGAAATATTAAAAGGAGACACATGCAGAGACAGACGAGAGTTTGTGCAGTTAGTCTCAGATGTCTCTTGACTCAAAGAGCTGCAAATAAGAATAAAACCCTCATAAAGAGAAATTGAGGGGCCCCCCTTATGCGGGTTTATACTGGGGGCCCCCCTTATACCCTCATTCCTGTCGCCTTCGTGGCTATAACTGCATTCATTAGGGGGCCTCTGGGGGCCCCCTCAAACAAAAGGGGCCCTTCTAAGGGGCCCCTGGGGGACCTTCTAAGGGGCCCCGGGGGACCTTCTAAGGGGCCCCTGGGGGCCCCCTAAGGGGCCCCTGGGGGCTTTTCTAACGGGCCCCTGGGGGCCCCCCTAAGGGGCCCTTGGGGGCTTTTCTAACGGGCCCCTGGGGGCCCCCTCAAAGATAAAGGGCCCCCCTAAGGTACTCTTAATGACGCACAACCCTTTGTAGGGGCCCCCTGAAGGGCCCCTAAAGAGGAGACAAATTAGCGGGGGGGCCCCCTGATATGAAGGGTACCTAGAACCAACCCCCTAGCCAGCCCCCAAACCCTGACTGCTGCTCTGGAGGAGTTGAGGCCCCGCTGCTGGGGGCCTCATCATCATCAGATGCTTCTGCTGCTGCTGCTGCTTCTGCTTCTGCTGTTGCTACCTTTGCAGAAGCAGAAGAAGAAGCAGAAGTGCTCTCTGTGTCTTCATCTACCGAAGCCGAACCCCCACTGCGACGGAGGCCCTTCTTAGAGGCCCCCTTAGTACCCTCTTTGGGGGCCCCCTTCGCGCTCTTCTGCGATGCTGTCCCTTTAGTCTTCTCTTTGGGGGCCTCTTCGGAGGCCTCCTTAGTATCTTCCTTGGGGGCCCCCTTGCTATCCTCTTTGGGGGCCCCCTTGCTATCCTCTTTGGAAGCCTTTTTGCTACCCTCTTTGGGGGCCCCCTTGGTACCTTCTTTGGGGGCCCCCTTGGTACCTTCTTTGGGGGCCCCCTTGGTACCCTCTTTGGGGGCCCCCTTGGCACCCTCTTTGGGGGCCTCCTGATTGCCCCCCTTGGGGCTTAGTTGGGGTGTCTCTTGAGGGGGGGCCCCCTTGGGGCTTAGTTTAGGTGTCTCTTCAGAGGGGGCCCCCTTGGGGCTTAGCTTGGGTGTCTCCTGAGGGGGGCCCCCCTTGCTGCTGCCCCAAGGAAGGTTGCTGGAAGCTGCTTGAAAGAGAGAAGAGCTCCAGCCTGTTGCTGCTGTCTTTTTTGTGTTTTGTGCTGCTAACCAGAGACGCTCAATAGTAGGGGACCTAAAGAAATAAAACAGAGAAAAAGATATTAATAAAAAAGAAATAAGGAGACAGTTTAAGAGATAAAGGAGACAGAGAGACAGAAGGAGACAGAGAGACAGAAGGAGACAGAGAGACAGAAGGAGACAGAGAGACAGAGACAGAGAGGGAGACAAGGAGACAGAGGCAAGGAGACAGAGAGACAGAGAGAGAGAGACAGAAGGAGACAGAAGGAGACAGAGAAACAGAGAGACAGAAGGAGACAGAGAGAGAGAGAGAGAGAGAGACAGAAGGAGACAGAAGGAGACAGAGAGACAGAAGGAGACAGAGAAACAGAGAGACAGAGAGAGAGAGATAGAGAGAGAGAGAGAGAGAGAGAGA